CTCTGCAGCTGGTTTTATTTCAAAATATGACTAAAAAAGAACAAATAATTTATAGCAACCTGTCATTTGGTTCAGACAGACGTCATGTTTCTGCTCTGCAGAAGCTGAACAAGAAAACCCCCGAAACCAGCATGTTTAGGATAAATCTTTAAGCTGGTGGCACCTCTGATGCTCGTGTTTAGTGGTGCTAGCTTTTTATTCATTTTTAAATATATTTTTGGGGCTTTTGCCTTTATTTTAGAGCAGCAAAGGCTCATGAGCGGGAGTCGAACCCACGACTGCTGCATCAGGGAACCACAGCCCTACTCATGGGTCACCTGCTCAGCCAGGTGAGCCAAAGGGGTGCCAGGTCACCTTTAATTTAACTCCAACACTGATCTCTTTTATTATCACAAACCCCCAAAAGACTTGATTTGGATTTGCTCGCACAAGAAATAGACAAAAAATAATATTGCAACGAGCTACAGATCCCACCTTTAGTTGTAATTTAGTGGAAACGTGGTTATTTCAGTTATTTAGTTCAGTCATGGGTCGACTTTGTTGCTGCTTCAGAACAACAAAACCGAACCAGGAACCCCCAGAACCAGCAGGTTCCACTGCGTGTTTGAATAAATCCTTAAAACAATGGTGACACATTTGTTGCTCGTGTTTTAAGAACACTGTAGGGTTCAATAAATAGTGACATATTTTAATCCACCACTGATATCTATCAGCAACACACACACACACACACACACACACCAAAAAATTAGCATAACAAAAGAATATTATCTGTAATGTTGTAAAGATGCTTTTTAGTGATGGTGATGGATCCCATCTTTAGCTGAAGAAGTTGTTAAATTCTTAGTTGTTCCGGAGGCGTCGTGTATGTCCGACAGGTTGTTCAGAGGCTTGGCTGTGTGTCGGCATCCAGTCTGTTTCTGAGTGTCGTTCAAACACCGATGAAGACCTCGATGCAGCAGCTGATGGGGAACTAAATAAAACGAGCCAACGCCGTCCTGCCGCTACATGCGGCTTAATCGGCAGCTGGAAATAGTCCTGCGAGTTTATTTCATTAAGAGCTGCAGCTGTTTGTTGCTGTTTTCCTGTAGCTCCCAGACGAGCAGGTCAGGAGACCCCGGGAGGAGCCCAGAGATGATTTCCAGGAATCAAATTAAATGTGGAAACGATTGGAAAAAGCAGATTTGTCACCGACGGTTTTGGGCTGTTCTGTTCTGTTGTGTTGGAAAAGTTTGATTTGGTTTCACAAAACCTCGAAATAAATGCACAGAGCAGATCAAAACATGACGTACGTTTTATGTTCAGATTTTAAATGAATACAAGAAGTGTAGTGAAATAAAAAGAAAGTATAATTGACTTGCTGGAAGAGGACAAATATACATGACTTATGATTGAAGTAACGGCTATAAATATGACATTAAATGTTCTGGGAAGTGACTGAGAGTAAACGAGCACGTTGTTGGTTTAAGTTAAACAAAAACAAAATAAAACAAACAGTGACACTTTAACATTTCTGTGACAATCTTTTAAAATGTTATTCTCAAATTCTAATTGCCTTCGTGGATAAATTACGTTGAACTGAATTAGATAGGAGAAGGAAAAAATATCCCCAACTTTCCCAATCTCAGGATCTTAAAATACATTTATTTGTCCTGAAACGATCATCCAGAAAAGTCGATTTCAGTTTTCATTGGACAGTTTTCTCTAAGCTGCTAATTGAATTCTTATTTCTATTGAAATCATAAAGAAATCCACTCACATGTTAGGAGCTCATTTATTTTATTATTCTTCCTTCAGCTTCACATTTTAATCTCAGTCTTTGCTTTTCTCTGTGGCTGTAAACATCTTAAATAGCAGCGCAACCCCTCTCAAGTGTGTGTGTGTGTGTGTGTGTGTGTGTGTGTGTGTGTGTGTGTTTGTTTTGTGTGTAGCCTGCAGTTCCGCCTCCCGTCCCCTGGGGGGCGCCCTCTGTCTGCACACTGGACTCACCTGGCCGCAGCTTCTGCTCAAACCGAGTGTATTTCCACGGGTGTCACAGAACAAAGTGCCATCTGCATTTCGCACATTCTCTCGTTTATTCGGAGAGCCGGAATTAACATGTAATTAATTAAAATACATAAAACAGCAGGTAAAGATGCATCTGCTGGAGGTTCTGCCGAGATTAGAGTACCCTCTCAAAAAACCGGGGCCTGTATATTTACAACACGAATGCTCTTTTATTGTTCTTTTAGGTTCCGCTAAGGCCGAACCTGGCAGCGCTTCCTATACCCGGGTTCCCCAGAGGGTTCCCACGGCGGTTTGAAGGGGGATGAAGGGAATCCGAGGAGGTTCTGGGGGTTCCAGGAGCATTTAGAGCAGCTCCAGGTTGACCTGTAGGTGCCTTTAGTGGGTTCTGGGGCGTTCGGAGAAGATTCTGTGAGCTCTCTGAGGCAGTTTCCTTGGCTGTCCAGAAAAGTGCTTTTAAATCCAAAGTATTATTATTATTATTATTATTGTTATTGTTATTATAATATGTTGGGTTCCACAGTGAGCTACGGTTCTCCGATGAGGAGGCTTAAGGTGCTGCTGGGGGGATCCAGGAGAGGCGTGGTGGTTCTAAGAGGCTTCCCCAGGACGGACGTTCTTGAGGGGAGTTCCTGGAGGTGTTTCTCTGGGGCTCCTGGAGGGTTCTGTGTAATTATTAAGACGCTCCAGAGGAGGTTTAAGGGCTCTCGAAGAGATGTTCTTCAGGTCCACTGGTGCGTCTAAAGCGGTTCCAGATGTTCTAAGGCATTTTTTTAGAAGCTCCAGGTGATTCAAGGACTGTTTTTTTTTTTTAGGAAGCAGGAAATTAGAGCAGGATTTCCAGGAGGATCCACGGTCACTGGAGGCTGTTCTTTTTGATTCTCAGGTCCTTCAACGAGTTCTAAGGAACATTTAAAAGGTCTAGAGGAGGTTCCAGGATTGTTTGAATAGATTTCAAGGTTCCAGAGGAGGTTTCAGATTCATTAAAAACCTAAAATAAAATTCAACAGAAGAGAGTCACTTAAAAAAATCTAATAAAATAACATTAAACGGAATTAAATTATTATTACTGGAGAGTAGATTCTTTCCCACAAGCTGTTAGAAAATATTCCAGCAAGACACTGAATAAAAGCAAATAATAATAATAGTAATAATAATAAAAATACTGATAATATTAACTGCTGTTGTGAATAACATTACATTATTATTATTATTATTATTATTACTATTGTTATTATTACTATTGTTGATATCATTATTTGTAGCAGCGGTTAGTTTTATTCAAGCATTAATTGTATTTATTATGAACGCGGCCTACTATTACGGGCTAATTATGAAAATGCTAAAACGGTGTTTAGAAGGTTTGTTGTCGAGCCGGTGAGCCCGTTGCAGTCCCGGTTCTGGTCCGGCCCGTCCTCCTCCTCCTCCTCCTCCTCATCATCTCCTTCTTCCTCAACATGTTTGCAGCGTCTCATTGACTTTTCTCTCCGCGCACAGAAGTATTTTTCCAGGCTTTCCAGACGTTTCTGTTTCCCTGGAGGAAGGCAGCGGGCTAAAGGAGGATAAATATTTAATCAGCGCTGCTCTGGAGTTTTTGCTTAATTAGAGGAATTCTGCTCCTGCCACGGAGATGAACAAAAATGACTGCTGGAGATGTCAAATATCCCCCCAAACATCAAGAGCGATGATCAGAGACAACCTCGTAATTATTATTACCGTTATTATTATTATTGCTGCTGCAGCTCGGTTTAAATTAAAGGCACATATTTTATAGCAGTGTGAAATAAAACACTCGCACTAAAACATAGCTTATTAAAGGCTTTCCCTCCTGGTGTGTGTGTGTGTGTGTGTGTGTGTGTGTGTGTGTGTGTGTGTGTGTGTGTGTGTGTGTGTGTGTGTGTGTGTGTGTGTGTGTGTTAGAGAGAGAGTGAGAGAGAGAGCAGAGCGCCATATGTCCGTGCGTAAAAAAGCGCAAATTGGTGCCAAATTTGCGCGCCGCCCGTGTCAGTCAGCCTGAACGCCGGATGACAGAGGAGATTATTTCACATGAAACCAGTTAATCCCCCAAAATCTGCAGAAGTCTGCGAGGTTGGAGGGAGTGAATACAGATTTGTGTTACTGATGAGGTTCAGTATTACAGTCTCGTATCCGCAAAGTGAATCTGGAGCGGGGCCTGTGCGGAAACAGCCGCGGAAGGTTTGGATGTAGCAGCAGCAGCAGCCCGTCAGCCTCCACAACTCAGTTAATCACATTCTCAGGCGGGAAGCGCTCACGTTTCTTAACCAGAAGTGACAGAATCCGCCGGTGTGGTGACACGGAGACCGGAGCCGGTGTCGGAGTGATGCGTAAATCAGGAAAATAAATGATTTGTGACTCGGTGGTTTGAACTCACCGCAGGAGCAGATTCCCTCACACGCTGCGGGCTAACGGGAGGCTTCACTCCCCTCCGCTCCGGCCAATCACAGCCGCCAGCGTGTTTATTAAAATGTTCAAAACCGTCTCAGTGAGGTGTGCTCGGACCTTCAGCACTCCTCTCATTAGCGGGCCGTTTTGAGCCGCTTTCAAAACTTCACGTTTCAGCGTCATTTTTTGCAGTGCGCGCGGCCGAACACGCGGAAACCCATATTTGGGGGCCGCGCTGAAAAAACAATGACGCAACATCAGAGTTCGACCAATGAGACGCGAGAGGTGCGACTCGTATTCAAACGAGCTGCCCTTATTTGGCGCTTTCCCCGCCCCCCGCTGCTCCACGCCAGTCCCCCGGGAAATCCAGAGCGCCGGACCCCAGGAGAAGGAGCTCTCCGCCGGGACAGAGGAGCCATAAAGAGCCGGGGAGGGAGGGGATGAGATTTCTCGCTGCCCAATCCCCCTGTTCCCCCGGGAGCCGCTGCCTTCCACGGTCCGTCCCTCCCTCTTGTTTGCTAATCATTTCATTTTACTCCTTTTTGAAGCGCTGGCTTGTTTTTTTTATCCCACTTTTCATTTTTCCACAATCCGCGGCTGCTCGCCTCCCTCTGATCCCCGGCTCTCCCCGCTCCGTTCTCCCGGCGTTGGGCTCTCCGGATCCCGGCTGATTCTGCTCCGTCTCTCTCTCTGTCTGTCTCGGCTCCTCTGAGATGCTCTCCCCGCTCTCCGCTCCTCTCTCCGCCCTCTTTTAACTTCACAGAGACGCCGGTTTAAAGCCCGGGCTGCTGCGAGCCGGGGCTGGGATCTAAAACAACCCCGGAGAAACCCAGAGGGATCCGGGGCTCTTCTCTGGATCAGGACCCGGTACTTTGGGGAAGCTCGCCCGTGTGTCCCCCACCCCTCCTCCTCCCCTCCTTCCTCCTCATCGCTCCTCGTTCGCTCCTCCACCTTAATCCAGGTGGTCCTTTGGCTTTTTTGAGTGGCGGCTACAGGGAGGATTATTCTTCTTTCTTGTTTCTGGTGAAGACAAAGCTCCCAGAAGGACACTTTGATGTTCTCCATCCAGGACAGCCTCCCTCGGGGGGCCCTGACCATGAAGGAGGAGCCGCTCCCCACCGGCATGACCCCGGTCCGCTCCTGGATGCAAGGCGCAGGGATTTTGGACGCCAACACAGCGGCCCAGAGGTAAAAACATCACAAACCATGCAACTTTTCATCTGTCTGCTGTGCGGTGCCACCCGCTCGATTAGTTAGAAAAGTCCAGCGTGAAGGTGAAAGTGGTGTTGTGCATCCTCCAGGATCTGCCTGGGAAGGGACACGCGTGGAGGCTTCTGCTGAGCCCGAAGAGTGAAAGGCGAGAAATTAAAAGCAAAGTGAAAGCAACCACACGGCTGCAGCAAGAGTTCAAGTGCAGCTAGTTTGAGGAAAACAATTTAAAAGCGCACAAATAACCCGAGGCAGCTTCTCACTTTGTGTCACTAACGGATGAAATGAGTACGAGAGAGAAACGTGAGAACTTTCCATCAGCTGCACGGTTAAAAGTCCAACTTTCACAAAAGAAAAAACGAATTAGAATAAAAACAGGGAATAATCACACGAGTCCCGTTTCTCCTCTCTCAGTAACTCCGACCAGCTGGTGGTGTCTCAGCGCTCAGCCGAAGCTCCTCTCGCCGCCTCCCGCGTCTCTCCGCCGGGTTCGGGCTCAGTGCTGTGCGGCCGGAGCGCGGCGCCATGTTCTTCCTCCCCACTTCTTTATAAACCCCAAAGTCAACTTGAAATAAAGTTGACTCCCTGCACACCGCGGCTCTGATAATTCATTTAAACTCATCCATCGCTGCGGCTCGAACACGCCGCGCGTAAAGAGCGCAGGAGGCGGCGGGAGGAGCGCGGAGCCGCCGCCGCCTCCTGCGCGCCCCCGTTCTCCGGGGTTTTGGGGAAAATTATCAAAACTAGTTAATACACGACTATTTAATTAAATCACGCTGATATTTTTCTTCCATCCACAAACACCAGATTCTGGCGAATTTCAAGATTTAAGCGATATTTTATTTATGAGCCAAACTCTGGGAGGAAATAAAGCGAAATGTAACTGGGTCACAGGTTAAATTAAAGAGTGGTGCAGCTTTACACACGCAAGATAAAATAAGTTCATGTCTGATGCAGACGCTCAGCTTCACTTTGAAATAAATCGATTTTTTATTTTTAAAGCTCTCAAAGCGTCACCCAGTTGAATAAATATTTTTAACGAGCAGCCGAATTTAACAGTAAAACACACACATCCCAATCTCTCCTCGGTGTTTTTAAAATCCTCCTTTGGAAGTTGGAAAGTGTTTTTCCAGTAAAACACGACAGTAATGAGTTTAAAGCGCTCACGTGCGTCTCTCGGGTGGAAACAGGTGAGCTCCGCTGAAATCCGACCGCTTCACTCCAACAAATCAATGCGACGTTGGCAGCGCAGCCTCGGGTCCAAACCACCTGAACACGGGCAAAGAAAATCCATGAACGGCGGGATGAAGCTCCGAGAGCCCGCATTCATCAGGAGCCCGCAGCTCTGCGCGGTCCAAACGTCTCAGGATTCCTGTCTGCGTGTTTTTAATTTTACCTGCAGAAGTTTGCTCTAAAATTCCAGCTTTAAATTCTGCAACAATCCTCAGCAGCGTCCAGTTTAATTATCAGTTAATTAAAACGCGTTTAAATGAATTTTTGTTCTTAAATTTGATCCCAGATTTGATCTCAGTTAAACACCTGTTTTACATTCAGCCTGTCAGCACTCACTAATGTACAGCAGATTCCAAATGCACAAATTGTCTTCCAACAAATGCACAATTAATAGTCTGATTATTTTATTATTCATCAAGGATGTCAAATAAAGTATAACTTGTAGATATTTGTTTGCTTCAAGCAGCAGTCAAAACCCCCAAAATATTCAGTTTACTGTCAAAGAAAGATTTAAAAATCACATCTGAGAGGCTGAAAAGGAGCTTTTTTTATTTTTTTATTTCTTTGCCATATTTGCTATAAAATAAAAAAAGCATTTCATTAAATTTAAATGCAGGTGCAATTGTTGTAAATGTGTGAAAAGCAGCGTGGTGTGTCTGGAAGTGGAGCTCTCTGTAGACAAACATGCTGCCCACTTACAGGTGACAATAAAAAGACGTTATGTTAAACACCTGCGCCTTTAAAATCTCCACGAGAAACAGACTTCCACCTTCGATTTGGGAGATTAAACTGTGAAAAACAAGCAGTGGAGAAAAGAGGGGAGACCTCAGGAGGAGCTGCAGAGCAGAAATCACTCTGCCTGTTCGACCGCTGGAGGTCGGAGGCAAACATCTGGACAGAAAGTACAATTACAAACCCACAAATCTGCCGCGCGCACGTCCAACCCCTAGAACCGTTCAGATAAATTGCTTTCAGATTCAGAAAACCTGCTGAAAACTCCACGCTGGAGGTTTTGCAGGCAGCTAAACCAAAATCAATGAAGCCAGGCTGAAGGAAAATACAGAAAATAATCCGTATTTAGGAAATGAATGTACAGAAAAACGTGTTTGGATGCAAATGGGTGCTGGATTTAATGTAAATGAAGCGTATTTGCTCCTCAGAACTGACTCTCGGTGTATTCTGCTCTCAGATTTTTCTAATTGTACAGTTTATTCTACTGCTGAGCTCCTGAAACTCTCCTCCTCATCCCATGTTAATGATCCAGATGTTTAAATAACTGGCTCTGTGCTGCTGATGTGCTGCTGAGTCCGTGGGTTTGTGCTGTTTGTTTTATTTATTTCTTTGGTAAATGAAACTTTGGGCTTTGTGAGGCTGCTGCTGCTGCAGGAAGACGTCGATCAGAATCACGCGCGTCGAGACCAAAATCACATTTTTACAAATTTGAAAGCGGAGGATTAAAAAAAAAATTTAAAAAACGGTTTGATGAGGAAAAACTCTGAGTGATTCCTCTTCCAGATGTGCAGTCGGATGCTGCGCCGACAAACGGACGAGCAGTAAATATAACAGGAAGAGACAGAGTGGAGTAAATAAAGCAGCCAGACCTGCCTCTGATGAATTTAAGTTCATTACGATTCATGAAGAGCTGCAGGTTTGTAGATATTTTAAAGGTTTATTCTTAAAATCGCTGGACAGATAAATGATGAAAGTTGCAGGAATTTTATTAATGCGGCTTGGAATGTACAGATTTGTTCCAGTTTGTGGTTATTATGAGGAGAAACTCAGCAGGGAGGAGGGTCTCTACTCAGGGGCCGGCGGACCTTCATCACAACTTCTTTAGCTGCACAAAACAAAAACCTGTAAAAATAAAACCGAAATGACAGAAAAGAGGTGTGAAAATTTACACGTATGATGCAAAAAATAGAATGCACAAAGGACAGAATCAGGTCAATAAACATGAAATAAATAGTGTGACAGAGGACATGTTGGTGCTGTAAATACTCTACAAATAAAGACTACGGTCTGCAGAAGGAGATGCTAATGCCACAGTGTGTTTGTTCTACAGAAACATGAGCAACCTGCAGCTTGATTTTATTTATCAGGACTAAAACACGTTTAAAAAAACAGTTTTATTGTTATTTCTGCAGCCAGATTATTAAAAACTCTTTTATCGATCAGTTGTCTAAGCTAAAAAAAAACAGAGAATCAGCAGCGTCACTGCACTCTGATTCAACAGATGAACTTCCAGAGTCATCCACCTCTGGCTGATTTATTATAAACCAGCGTCTGAATTTTAGAGAAAAGCTTTGAAACAGGCCAGTCGTAGCTACATGAGGTCAATTTAAAGATTCTTGCTTTTCACTTCAATTTTTCAGCAAAGAAGCAAAAGGAGGATTTTAGGGATATTTAACAGGTGGAGCCTCGTGTGTGTCCTGATGACCACACATGCACCTTTAGGAGCATGAATCAGGTGTTAAACGGATCGTTGGTCGGTGCAGCCGTTCATTGTCTCTCCCCAGCTTCGTCCTGCAGATGCCTAATGGATGATATTTATCTGATATTTGGTGTGCAAACCTCCTGTTTCCACAGTGCATTAGAAGATGCTTCTCGCTCACAGAGACAAACAGCGGAAGTAGAAGCAAGCCGCTGGTGTTTGGACGGTGTCGTGTTCACAACGTTTAACAAATGCACGAGAAACAAACAGAAAGCCGAGAGATTCCCCACCGAACTGTGGCTGAAATGTGAGGACAAATATCCATAAAAATCCTGAGACGGGTGTCACCCCGAAAGAAACCGTCTCAGTTTACTCCACCGACATTTAACCCTCGCGATCCTCTCATTTACAAACCCTAAAACTGCCCTCAAACGCCTCACGAAGCTCCTCCGTCTGATGAATGATTCAGACGTCTGAGCGATGAGTTTTAATCTTTTCAGGGTTTTTGTCTGCGGGTGTCGAACATTTGTGTGGATTATTTATCCGTAGACGCATAAATAATGGAAGCTCCTGATAACCGAGTGCTAATTGGAAGACGCCGGTTTGAATCCCGCGTGGCGCCATTCAAACTGACGTCTGTGTCAGGTTTAGGCTTCGTGTTTCTGTGAAGCCACGTTTGTGTTTCTGTGTCAGACTCTAGTTCCTTCAACGCTTCAGGACAAAGTTACTCACAGCTGAATTAAAAAAATCAAAACATCAGGATGAATAACTCTGAAGCTCCGATGCAATGTTCTGAAAACGCTCATCAGGCCAAAGTACAGATGTTTTTTCAGCAAAATACCCTGTAAATGTTCTAATTCTGCAGAAATCTACAATATGTGACAGTTTGTACTGATGCATCACCGCTGACTTGTTTTCTAAGTGTCTCTGCTGCACAAACCTACATTTAGTTTTCAAATATTTCCTCAAATCTGAGCTTTTTGGGTTAAATATTGATTATTTGAGCTGTATGAAACCAACTCACAGGCGTCTGAAATCCAACAAGGTGCTTTTTTTGGGGGTCAAAAAGGTCGTTTTCTGTCCTCGACGTAAACGTGTTTAACAGTTTGTGTGTAAAATATGAATTTCTTCTAAACGCAGCACAGTGAAAAATACTCGAGAAGTGGAAAAAGTGAATGTTTTTCCCTCCAAAACTCCTGTTTCTGGCGCTTTGTTTGTTTCTTTGCGACCTACTTTTTAATACGACGGCAGCTTTCCTGCTGCTAAAATACATTTAGATTATTATTAATAAACTTTTACGCTCAAAAACCAAAAA